GCATATGAATTACAGTGGCAGCAGGATGGCCAAAATAACTATAGGAATTGGGCCCATAGCCCAAACGGAGTAGTGGCAGACAGCACACAATATCTGTAAGACCCTGGCAACATAAGGCAATTTTTTCAGGTTAAGTGACCTGAAACTCGATTCCAGGAAACAAGATCTGGTGGCACTTTCGGGGAATTATGATTGTTTTCATTGACGTCATAAAAAAGAAGACAAGGTTCAACCAATGAATCTCCACATTACATAAATACGGCTGCACTTTTATCTGGCCGGCTTAACAAAATCACCTTCGAAACTTGGCTACTGTAATGGAAACTTAACAAGGTCTCTAAAATGTTTGAAAGACATCAACTGTATTTTGTATATACTGTCTTATTTTTCATGAGCCGTGTGAAAATAAAACTACAGACCTTTTTTAATTCACTGCCAGATGAAGGCCTCCCCAGCCATGGGGGTTGATATGCTAGAATGTTATGGACTATGTATCCTATGGTTTTATACAAACCATCACAAAACAATAAAATTAACTAATAATTGTGAAGACGATGTGGATTCACAAGAATATTAATCACAATTAATTTGGGTTTGCTCGTTCATACAGTATTTGCATACCCTGTGTACATTGAATCGTGAAAAATTCCAATCGAGGTGCACATAAAAGCACAGACTTGGTAAAGCACCATCCACAAAGCTATATAGTGAGAAAACATGGTATTTTGTTAAAAGGGGCTGTTACCAGAGCAATTCTTCAAATGTTGACAGTATAAGACGGTAACAATTTTTTTAGTCATAATTTAATTCATCTGACAATAACTCACATGGGAAGTGGAAACATGCTCTCGGCACAAATCAAAGGAGTACAACCTCCAAAAGTAATGGACATTTAACGCAATTGGAAAACACTACAGATAACTGTCCTCATGGCCATAGACTTTAAAAGGTTTCTCTACAGTATAGAAGAGTGAATAATTTATAGCATTTTACTGTTTTGATGTGGCATATTGCTCCAACTCACTTGGTGATACTGCATAGCAATAGTTTAGGCCATATACAAGGTGTCATCTCTTACACTGGTTATTGAAATATATAATTAAGTTGCATAAAGTGTGAGAGTGTGCTAGAATAAACTGAGTGGTTCTTGAAGTACAAAAGTGATTACATTTGAATTATTTTCCATAAAACATGGATGTGGCTCCTCAGTGCACACACCCTCAACTTCCAAAACTGGACTGGCAGCTCTTACATGTAAAATATTTACTTTCCGACTACATTTATTTTGTAAAAGAACGTAACTTTTATGCTGCTGCTGTGGAGCCAATTTTACAAGCAGTGATTTAATGTTTCCAGGTTACAGTGATTCATACTGGAATTAATTAACAGGACACATAGGGGACCATTTCAGCAAAAGGTAGACAACATTTCAACATTTTGATTTAAAGCTTTCGTGACTGCAGTAATTCATATTCTTAGTTTTTTCGGTAAAGTCACGTTGAAGAGAAACAACAAAATAACAAAATATATATAAAACAATAAAAAATTCTCACGACGTTTCGACCATAACTCAAACGGTCATCATCAGGTGTGTCAGTTTGCATAAATTGTTTTATATATATTTTGTTATTTTGTTGTTTCTCTTCAACGTGACTTTACCGAAAAAACTAAGAATATAACATTTCAACACATTGCATTTTGATTTAAAGATAGACGTGGTTACGATTGAGTGGTTCACAATTCACGACGAAAATTATGAATCCATATAAACTTATTTTAAAATTTACAAACCAAGTGCTAATTTGGCATCGATCAAAACATGTCAACCATGAGTTGCACACAACAGTTAATAATTCTATTGTTGACCGCTCAATACCCTCGTATTCTCAGTATCAATTTGCAACTTAATAAAGCATACATTTGGAATAAATAAAAAATATCTGCTCGCAAATCGTAGAAGTGTTAATCAACAGAGAAGCACAACACATCTATATTTCAAAGACAGTCACATATATCTAGTTACAAGTCCCATAATAATTGATAAGCAATTTCATTTTAAAACCTAGTTGTTTAATGATTAGGGTTAAGAATAATATGCACATCGTCTATTCTACCCTTTTTTATGGTAATACAATTAGTGTACCATTGTCTACCATTTAATGAAGTGATATCCCCTTGTGTACACTGCTGTTTATCCCAGGATAAGGACATCGTACGCAATATAAACATGATACACTAAATAAATTACACGCTAAAGCTGTTATTTTTACTGTGCTCGTTAATGTGGGGCATGTTGGCAAAAACACAATCGCTAAATGTACTCTCCATATATTTTCTATTAAGCTTTGGTTATTAAATTTACAAATTACCTACTGCTGAGAAAGTGAGAGCCAAAGTTATTCACAGCGACATTAGATATTTAGTGAATGGAGAAACATTAACCATCTCACATTTTCTGGTGACAAAGTCATTATCAGCCAATAGTCATGACCTACAATAAATGTAAAAAAAATACTTAATACAGAAGGCTGCAAAGTTGCGATCAGAATAGATAACATAAATGTATTGTACAAGTTAATTAACAATTGGAGATATCTAGCAGAGCACAACTGAAAAACAATAGAATATATACACCTCGCAGTTATTGAAGGCATCTCGGGTCAGTTATACAATAAAGGGGCAAGAGCAATATATAATGAATTTAGTAAGCTGAATTTTACCATAAATAGCAACTTACCATTGTGCCGACATAAAAAAAAAAACTTTTAATAATTGCATATTAAATGTCATATGGAACAGAAACATGGATATTGATGAAGAAATGTGTTAAACTGAAGTGAGTAAAAAAGTATTCGTGCATGAACTTACATGGTTGGATATAAAGTACAGTAATTTAGAGTGTTGAGAAAAGTGGCTTGGCGGCAGGACGTGTCGCTCGAAAAAACGATGCCACGTTAAATGAAGTATAACTACTGAGCAGCAGAGAGCAAGCGATGAAATCAGCCCACATGCAGGTGCTAAGTGCACTGTGACATCACAGGACCATGCGATGTTGACGGTGGCTTGGGTAGATGTTTATCCAGTAGTAGTTTCAGCATGGTTGATGACTGGTTGACGAGACTGGTGATTGTACGGCAGCTGAGTGTGAACACCAAAGTGGAAGACCACCTTGGAGATGGCATCGCAAGCTTGAGGGAGCTTGAGGGAGCTTGGGGAGGCTGTCATCCAGCAGTGGACTGAAAAAAGCCTGCACATATACATATATATTTATGGGTACACTATACATAACGCAGTATGCAAGCACGTACATTTCGCACAGAATATAAGGGAAATATAGTGACACATGCATATATTGAAACTGTTTTAATCTTAATACACGATGGTGATAATTGTATGTATAAAATCAGGCGTCGATTGCATTCTTACAGTAATCGTACATGGATTGAACCATGTGTTAAAATGCATTATTTACAATTAATTCCATTAAATTATGTAAATTACATTTAGCAGCCAAATGGAACAAAGCAACGGATACGACAAACGCACATGTGACGGTAAAAAAGCAAATAAAATCAAAACCCTGGATTGTGGAATCTCTGCAGCAAGGAGGGATTAATCATCAGGTTCATAATTGTTTTTGGTTGACAAAAGAAAAACCAGCGAAAGCCGAACTGTTAAATGAACATTACCACAGGCGTTCATAAGATGACGGAACGCTAGCGCCACCTACTGCTAGTGAAATCTTAGCACGTGGAGAGTAAATTACACGGTGATCAGAATATGTATAAACTTGAATCTAGATTTGAAGCTTTCGTGACTGCAGGAATCCATACTCTTTGGTTCTTTCGGTGAAGTCACGTAGGTATAAAATAAAATAAATCACGACGCTTCGATTGCATCACAAGCAATCATCATCAGGTGGGAAAACCAGATCAAGAAAAAAAGTTTTTTTTTTGCTGAAGTGGGAGAGCCATCCAGATATATCAACATAGACATAACTTCAACCGAGATGGATACAAATTGAGCAATAATTGGATGTATGTTATTAACCAGGTAAAACTCTAACTGCTTTGTCGTGATTTAAAGCTTTTCGTCACTGCAGGGATTCATATTCTTGGTTCTTTCGGTAAAGTCACGTAGAAGGGAAACAATAAAATAATAAAAATATAAAACAATAAAATTATCACTACGTTTCGACTGCAACACAATCATAATCAGGTGTGAAAACCACAGCAAGATTTTTTTTTACGTTAGCACCACGGAGAGCGATTTGGCAGTTTGTTCAGATGGACGAGTCCATCTATGTTCGGAAAAGAGGAGGAGGGAGACGAAAATAATGGATGCGGTCTGAAAGCCACCGTAGGCGTGATCAATCAATTAAGACCCGAAATGGTGTATCAAATCCTTCCAACGATTGCTAATCCAGAATCCATCTTCTCCGTTGAAATTGTCTGTGTTTGTATATGTGGATAGCTTCATCGTCCATAAATGACGTCACGCGATTTTGGACGATTTTTGCCCCCCCCCCCCCCAGTCACACGGCGTCAAAAAAGTCAGACCCCCCCCCCCTGAAATATGACGTCACAAAGCTCTGCCCCCCCCCCCAAAAAAAAATATATAAAAGATACTTCAAATCGCTTTAAACTACTGTCATTGTAGTGCGTATTTAATGTGGCGCTGCACTCTGTCGGAGAAAACATAAAAAGTCTATTTAATTAAGTATAACGTGTTGTCTATATTTATTTAAAGTTGCGCATTTTGATGTGACGTCACATTTCTCACCCCCCCCCACTTCGTCACACATCGTACTCCGTTCTCCCTTGTCCACGGCACGCTACTCGACTCCTCGATTCAAGGATTCGCGCGACAAAAATCGGAATCGCGCAGCGCAATTTGCGAACATCGCAGATAATCGATTCCCCTACTCGACACGCACGTGGATGTCGCGCGCATTGATATATCTCTCAGCCGGTGACGCGTTTCGCCGTAAAGTAGGACCCCCGGGTACCCTCTCACCCCTGCACCTCTACCGCAGTATCGCTGCGCCTACACAACACAATCCCGCGATCGACGCGACCGAAAAACAACGACGATCCGAATCGGCGCAAGAACGCGCGCGGCAACGTTGCCACGACTCGAGCGGCCGCCCGCTCGGTTCGAACAATTTATTATTTAAGGCGTCCAATCTGCGGCCCTCGTGACGCGCATGCGCAGTGGGAGAGTGGCTCCCAGAGTGCATTGCGCGCTCCTTTCTCCCCCGTCCGCGCTGCCGACATGGTGGGTCGCCTCACCGCTCCTCCCCGACTCCTCACCCCCCCCACATTCCCTTCCCCCCGCCACACCACACACACACACACCGCCGTTTTACTTAGCTTTCTCGATGTATCACCACCCGTGTTACGGTTCGCGCGCGTTTAGTTTTCTTTACGAGAATTGTCTCGGTGGTGTTGGGGACGGCGGGGTGCGGCGGCCGCCATGTGTTGAGGCCTTGCTCGGGCTTCATCCCGGGGGCCTCGTCTTCTATAGCGGCGGTGGCGGCGTGTCCAGCAGGGGCTCGATGTTAATGTCGAGGTCTGCTCGCCACGGCGAGATGGCTCAGAAGAGAGAGTCTAGTGTTTGCTATTGCTCAGTTGAAAGTGCAGCACGCAGCGGTTTACTGTAACAGGACGTAGTTTGGCTTGCACGGTCCCGATCACACTGCTGGCGATCGGGGTAATGCAACTTCCATGGAGCGGTGATGACGGAGTGTCTCTTGGTTACTACTTTTAACTTTCGCTTTGATATTAGAGTTGAAGTTGATATGTAACTGCGAGGCCGGTATTGACTACATTCAGAACGCTTTGCGCAGTTTCAATCATAGTCCATACGCAACCGGCGCTACACGTAATCCTAGAATAAGACTGCTTCATAAATATGCTACGCGTAATTATAGTACGATATGCGTGGCAATGTGTGAAGTAGAGCACTATACACAATGCTATAGAATATCAGACTGCACGTAGCACAACGCTAGCGCGCACTCAACACTAGACGAAGACACTAGACACTACACGTACCATTTCCAATACCATACACACTTAGAGCTACACAGAATCGTAAACTATAACTTTATACAATAACTACGACCCCCTTGCCTTACACTACACAGGTTACAACACTACACACGTTAAAGTACGAGCTAAATCGCAGATTGATTAAATTAGTGAATTTAGACTAAACCGCGAACAGCCTTGTTAAGACGACAAACCAAAGAATACGAGACGTTTCGACTGGGCTCTGCCATCTCTCCCGGGGTTGCTCGAACGAGTGCCGCACTAGGAAGTCGAGTGGCTGCATGGTTGTACTGTACGTGCCGCCACTGGCAACGGGCACGGGCTCTGTTGAACTGGAATACTGCTCAGTGTCGACCGCTAAGGACGCACTTCCTGGAATATTTTGCTAAATTATTTACGAATTAAAACTCACGAGACGTTTGAAACGTTGCCTTGATTTTAAAATAGCTTTTTCGCTAGCGTAGCACTCGTGATCCAATGTTGTGGGTGGGGATACTAGTCGATGTACGTTAAACTTCTTTAGACCATGCTAAATACTGCGTTGGTAAAACCTCCCCACTTCCTACTCTTTGGTTCTATTGGGTAAAGTCACGTAGGTGAAAATAAAATAACAAAAAATCACGACGTTTCGGCCACAACACAAGCGGCCTTCATCAGGTGAAGGGACGAGACTGTCTGGAGGACAGCGCTGGAGTGAGAGAAGCCACGCTTAGATCACGACCTTTAAGCTTGTGATCGAACACTCCCCTTTAGCTTCCTCTTTTAAACTAAACTCCTAACACTACCAAAGAAATTCGTTTTTAGAGGAACGGTTTTGCATGGCTGTCTTTTTAGAGAGAAAAACAGAAACCAATATCGAATGCGATTATGGGTGGGTGAAAGTGCAGGTAATACGCATTTTACTTAATGTACTGCCATCTACGTGAGTCATGTTTGTGCCTCGTTCACCTTCGTATACATGGTAGATGGTGGATGTGCTTTGGTGGTTTGTGTATACGCCTCCATGCATATGAACTATCATGCACCTACCCAATCAAAGTTAAGTTCTCAAAATTCTTGGGAAATTTAAGTCACCTGTTCGATTTATATCCAATTTGGGTTCCACAGCTAATCGTATACTGGCTTGTTTCAAATGTGAGCATCATTCTTAATTTGGTGGATAAAATTGTGACTCTTGGTTCTTTCGGTAAAGTCACGTAGAAGGGAAATATCGAAAAGAATTGTGACTGTCTTAGTGTTAGGAGATAGTAGCGAGGCTCCCGTTATAAGTAAAATTATGGTAAAGTACAATTTAACCTCATTCATGAATAAATACACTTGAACTGGTAATACTGAAAATGATGTGTAGGAAATCTAGTTAATGATTGCTTGCTAAGATGGACTTTGTGACCAACATTTGAATATGGGATGATGTGAGTAATTTTTTATGCAAAAATGTGAGGTACTGGTAACGCAAGTGGCAATATTGTTTTATTGTGAGTTTAGCTAACGTGCCTCTGTCCACGTTCTCGTCCAGACTAAGAAGAGAAGGAACAACGGGCGTGCGAAGAAGGGCCGTGGCCATGTGCAGCCGGTGCGCTGCACTAATTGCGCGCGCTGCGTGCCCAAGGATAAGGCGATCAAAAAGTTTGTCATCAGAAACATTGTGGAGGCTGCAGCTGTGCGTGACATCTCCGAGGCCAGCGTCTTTGAGTGTACGGGTCCTACGTTTTGTTTTTTACTACATATTTGCACCATTCATTATTCATAGCTTTCATTTTAGCGCTCCAGAAATTAACGTGCCTTGAGTGCAATAAACCGGACTTTATTTTGAGTTCATGACATCGCATTGACAAGTGCTTCGTTTAGAGATAACCTTATCCAGTTATATCAAATGTTAATTGACACAGGTTATACAGAATATTTTTTAAACTATAACATTTAATTGTGGTGTCTTTTTACACAGCTTACGTGCTTCCCAAGCTGTATGCCAAGCTGCACTACTGTGTGAGCTGTGCCATCCATAGCAAGGTGGTGAGGAACAGGTCGAGAGAGGCACGCAAGGACCGCACGCCTCCACCAAGGTTCCGTCCTGCTGGGGTAGGTCACATTGGCACTTGAGCTGACTTTTTGCACAACATTTTACAATATATTTCAGCCGTACGTGATTTTTTGTGACAAAAATGTCACGATCCAATTTTCCCTCTGGAAAAAAAACATGCCATCTCGTTTTATTTGTATGTACAGTACAAACATCCAATATATATTACAAGTGTAAAACTATCAGTGTTCTGTTGTGAGACTTATTCACTTTGTTTTTACAGGCCCAGGCTCCTCGTGTGCCACCGCCTCCAAAGCCCGTGTAAACCACGGAACGTTGTGGAAGCAAAACGATGTTCAATAAACGTTGAAAGATCTGATTTTTCTCTCGTTCTCTTTTATTAGGCCAATATGTCGATAGTAATGCCATTAGCAACAACATTGAATCGTTAGTTTTGAAGGGAAAGGTGTTTGCAAACAGGTTTTGACGGTTTTAGTAAATTTTTAATGAAATGAAAGCTGCTTCAAAATTTGGTGCATACATAGTGACAGTTGTGCACATTTACAAATTAGAAACGAGAATAAGCTGGGCATGTTGAGCTGATTATAGTTTCAATGCATGCCTACTTTTACCACAGTTATAACCTTATGGTTGAACACATTTCAAAATTGAAATGCCATGTGATGGCAATATTTTTTCTGCCGGTAGCAGATGTGCAACATTCGATTATGCTTTAATATGGATTTCACAGAATGTAAGATGTTAAGTTAAAATGTTCGCAAAAGCTTTTACTACTCTGTCAATTTACATGAAACAGAACAGGATCGGTAGCTCGGAACCATTGCTGCAAGGCGCCTTTGCGTGCCGATAGCCTTTCAAATCCAAATGCATTGGAATCGCTAACTCAATGAGGTGGCCAAAAAGAGGCTGTTAAGCTGCAAACAGCAGGGGGCCAAGGACAACCCTGAGATGGACCCCGCATGAGGGCTTGTTACCACTGCTCGAGACTATCCACTGACTGAAACGGAGAGTGGGTGCGAAATGCATTATAGGGCTAGGCGTATAATGGAATTCAGGCAGAATTGATTTCTGCTGGGTCTAGTATGAATTATTCCCTTGTTAAGATGCAGAGGGAAATATGTTCAGTGTCTCGATATTTTAGCTTACTTGTCTGTGTTAGATATTCCAAAATATAGTACAATCCTACAAAAGTCTTAAATCCCCGGTTAACAGGCATGTATGTAAGAATTATTGCTGATGCAGCATACTCAATTGTGATTACACATAGCAGTCATTGCCCTTTGATGGCAGACTAATGGCCGATTGCAGGCCAAATGCTAAATCACCTTGTGCTCACAGGGACAGCTGCCACTTTGTTTGGCGTAAAGGATACTCTATTAAAAACATGTGGCCAGGTATCTGTAGGCTACTGCACATTGAATCCACATCCGTAACTAATCGTGCACCTTACATGCAACACTGCAAATTGCCTTACGAACCCAATCTTATAGAGGTGATGGATGATTACAATTTCAACTAAATAAAAATGGTATTTCGCATCTCAAAAGTAACATTCAGCTTTCATGACAGGTACTGTAACATCCTGGCAATGTGTGTAGATGTACGTGTATGGTGCAACTTAGGCCAACAACATTGGAGGGCAGCAAGACTCAATTCTTCCAAGTCAAGTGATGTGCATGAATATTGAGCATTCCAAGTTACCCGTTTATGGATTTGATTTTCTAAGCGTTACAGTTTTTACCTAAAATATACAGCTCAATCATTAGCATTTTCTTTTACATTGGAGTGATTTTTTTAACGGTGCATGTTGGCTATGGCCGGGAATGGAATAGAACTCTGCGAGGCTTAATATCACAGTGCGCTAGCCACTATATCACACGCTCCACAACTACGTTTTCGTTGCACATTTAATTTACAAAATAGGAATAACTTTTTTTATGAAATTGTGCAAAATTTTAATCTGTGGATCATTTCACTTTTTACCTATTTATTTTTTATTGTGGACTAAACTTATTTTTTAATAATCCGACACTGGTGGTTTTGAAACTTTTCGGTATGCCCCCTCCAATTAAAACCATCGGTGTGCCCCCCTCAACTAGGCGATTGAATTTTATTTTGTCCCGACAATGTGCTGACGTTCCCTGCGCACTTACAACATTTCTCCTGCACGATATCCAAGAGCTTATCTGCGTATCTCTAAAAGGCTTTTCGTGCCTCTGCCAAGTGTGGGCGCAAGACACCACCCCCGGAGGGTTGAGAACCACTACACTCTCAATGAAATACTATTATTTTTCTACGTGACTTTACCGAAAGGCCCAAAGAGTATGTATACAAAAGTTAAACTGGAGTGTCAATTCTGAACCAGCAGAGGGCACAATTGTCCAAAGCGAATAACTCGGATTTGCCTTTCATGGCATTGGTGTATAGTTTTAGATATTCCTGCCCGTGGCAGGTCAATCGTGTTGACGCTTATAGAATATTGGCACTGTAATATACTTGTGGTCAAATACAAACGATAATACATAATACAGGGGCACATTTTTGCTTCGTTGTACAGGGTGGTCCATATGACCCGTGACCCTCCAATTAATTGACCTAATATTTTTTTTTCCTTTGAAAATTCATTTGTTTTAAATAAACCTTACTTTAGAAATGTTTTTTTTATTTTGAGAATTAAATGATGGGACACGACACCTGGACCGCCCTGAACAGCAAATGATTGAGTTTTGGAGGCGTTCCGTTGGTGTGGGAGATACGAACAGAACTTGCACAGATTGTGTTACTCGTGGACACACCACATATCTTTTACATCCTAAGCACGAAACTTTGGATATATCTCAGTGTTGCAGGTGAATAGTACATTGTCACATGTAAAAACAGTATCAGATCAATACAATATTTATTTGTTTATACACGTGGCAAAACATTCAGAAAATAGGCAAATGTTCGACATCTAACTCCCCACGGGGCCACGGGGGTGCCGCTCATTTAAATTTCCCGGATTGGAGCGCAGATTTCTGGAGTATTACTGTAGGGTGTTTTACCATTCCCAGCTGCTGTCTAGGGTTAACTGACCACAGCAATTGCAGGTCATTCCCATCCCGACATAAAAAATATATTAAATGTTCCAAGTACTGCTGGATGAAGGCCTCCCCGAGCCATCGCCACCTGTGTCGGTGATTGTCATCACTCGGTGCACTCCCAACCTTGACAGCCACTCTGTCATTATTCTCGACCACCAGCCATCATCTCTTCACGTGATGTTCTATCCAATCTCATTTTTCATAACACTTAAAAGTATGTCTTTAACCCCTTGTATTTCCCTAATCCATATGTTCCTGTCTTACGAATTCCAAGCATGCGCCTCTCTGTTTATGTACTTATTGACATTCTTATTCCTGAACCATGTATCATAATGAGTAATACACACTGACGAAACACTGGCATGTGTATCATTAACAGTTCAGCATTCCACAAACACTAACTCTCTCTAAGCCTCTTACATTTTTATCTTAGTTTGCCTTCAATACCGATCCGAGGTATACATATTCTCCTGTGTGCTGCAATATGTCTGCAAATGTGCTGAAATAAATCTGCAAACTTGTACATCAATGTTTTTTGTTTCCCATTTATACTGAGCCAAATGTGGCAGCATTCATTACTGAGCTCTAAAATTTATGGTATTGCAAAATTTGATGACTTTGCAGAACATCTCGTGAAGTTAGTGTGTTTTTAAAATTTGTATTACTGATATTCCAACTAGATTATTGAACAGACATTCTTAATGTTGCCTAGCTTTTGTGGACTATGTAAAGGCATTCGATTTCGTGGATATTGACACAAAGCAAGGCCTAAATTAATTATACTTAGACATAATTAATACCTTAATGGAATAGCTGCACGGAGATTGCATGATGCAAGTAGGAACATTAACAAAAGAGCATTCGGTAAAGGTGATGTTCTAGACAAAGTAATTCACAGCAACATTGCATTTAGAGAAATATCACACTCTGCAATACTGTATATCAAAAGAGGCTTCACAAAGGGCATGTTTAAAATCAACCTCATACCTTTTTTAAGTAGAGTACTGCCGTTAATTGCTACACATTTACCCACATTTTATTATTCTTAAGGGTCTGCTTATGTGCAGGTTTTCACGGGGGAAAATAGTTTGTGCAATCAATGTGGTTAAACGCAACATTGCATTGTGGCATTGCCAAATCATTATTTTTTTGTACACTACTGTGCTTACTGGAATTACACATTACCATTGGAAATATATGAAACACGACTTCCAAGTACTGTTGGCTGAACGTGGATATCTTACCACGCGTTTCCACACGGCTATATTATCTTTCACAGCGATGTAAAAGATATGTTTTTCATGTCAATTTTGAACGGCCTCATCAATTTCTTGTCTTAACATCTCATTTTCTTCTGCACACTTTGATAATATATGCATTGTCCTTGAAACTGATTGGTCCACACCAAAGACAGCTTTCTTTTGAGCCTCGTCTGAAACGGTGTTAGCCCAGAGGACGCACAAAAGGCGTACAGCTCCTCAAGTTGGTATTTTCCTATTCGCCCAACACACTGTCCAGACAAAGGAAAAGATGGGAGCACCCATACTTTACCCCCCACACCACCTGCTGATCAATTCACTGTGATCCAGTTATACTGCTAGGTGAACAAAGACAAGGGTTTCGATTTAAAGCTTTCGTGACTGCAAGGATTCATCTTCTTGGTTCTTTCGGTAAAGTCACGTAGAATGAGAATAAAACAAAATAAGACAAAATTCTCACGACGTTTCGGCCACAAGAAGGCTACTTGTGTTGTGGCCGAAACGTCGTGAGAATTTTATTGTCTTATTTTGTTTTATTGTTTTATTCTCATTCTATGTGACTTTACCGAAATAACCAAGAAGAAGAAAGACAAGGGTATTTCAGAAACCTGCCCATAGTTTCAACTACCATGCGAGGAAATCGAACCAGCAACCTCAGTATGCAAAGCCAGTAGGCTGACCATTATTCAACAGCAGCATCCTTTCAATATATAATTTACAAAAATATAAGGTTCACGCGATAATTTAATCTAATATTGGTGGAGAGGATGACAACCTTCCCGTGGTCCCCACTGTTACATGTTTGTCACAAACTAATGTCATCAACCCAGCGATCGAACGCCCAAAAAGGGCCTTCCGATCAGGATTGCAACACCAAAGATCTTTTTCAGGGCCAAACTTACCGCAGCGTGGGTCCGTCACTACGTTTGTGCCATCTAAATGTCGAGGGCCTGTTAAGGCCCAAGTGCAACTTCCTTGGGACGTTTCCTCGAACTCCACATGATCGACGTGCACCT